AGGAATTCGACAAAAAAACTAATGGGGTGACTTCAAAAGGCTAGAACAATCAAACCAACCCTCTCAAGCTAATGATGAACCTTTCAAACAAAATAATCCCAAAAAATAAATAAATAATGTAAAGTCATCAAACGAAGTGGAAATGATGGGGGTTTGCCCCAAAAAAATTTATTTCTATTTCCCATTACTCTTTTTTTTTTCCTTTGAAGCTTACTCGAGCAAAAGCTCGCCAATCAACGGTTCAGAGGCTTTTACAAAAATGATCATCAAAAGAAGAGAGAGAAGTATTTGTGTGAGCAAAAGTGCAGTTATGCTGACCAGATAAACCACTTTTCCATCAGGGTGAAGGTAGAGAGACGGAGTAAATTGTACAGCAGGGCCAGGGTATATGTAATGTATTCTTTTTCTACCAAGGTAAAGGACACTGGTCCTTAAAGGGATTATTTCACTTTACCCCCACCTTAGCTCCCGTATATTGCCCTATTGGACAGTTGAAAACAACACAACAACAAATGCCCATCCTTCAGAAATTTCAGAATCAGCACATTATCACCATCCATCCCTGCCCCACGTGATAAGAAAGCCTTCCATATTCAAATCAAACAACATTAATCATAGCAATAGTTCTTAACACTAGTACAACATTTTATCCCTCCACAAACCTTCTTAGTTCATGAGTAAAATCACATTATTCAATATGAAAATTATATCAAAAGGCCAAAATATGCAGCAAAACCCAAAACTATAAAGATCTAGCTAGGGAAAATAAACAATAAGATCACAAAACCATAACTTCATCAGCAAATGAAATTATGGTATATACATAATATATAAATCAACAGAAATTAGCAGCAAAACCCACTTTAGCATTTCTAAAAAACTCAGAAAAATATACCAACTTTATTATGTATATTTTTTTAATGAAGGTAATGGAAAAAATGCAGACCTTGGAAGATTTAGGGGCGGATTTGGAGACCCGGAGACCGGAAGAGGAAGGGGTGGGAGTTGTTGGGCGGCAGTCGTTACCAGAAGGAGAAACAGGAGAGAGAGGGGCTGCATCTGAAGAAGACCTTGAAGGAACGTTATCAGTATCAAGATGATGCCTCATGGATGCTGATGCTGATGCTGATGTTGATGGCGATGGAGATGAATCTTCAAGTTTTTTATGGGGTACATACAAACACATGTTCAAGCCAAGAGCCAACTTTGCTTTCCTCCATTTACTCCCCATGGTAACAAAAGGAAAAAGAAGAAAAATGATTTCCCTTTTCAGTTTCAAGATCCTGTTTTTAGGAAGATGGAGAACCAGAGATCGATGAAATTGCTAGGCAGAGAGAGCATTTTGGTTGAAAATAAATAAGGGGGTTGCAGTTGTTGTAAGAAGGCAAACATTTATTTTGAGGATTTGAACTGTAAATATAACATATTATTTTTTAGTGAATTACAAGTGAGGTAATTAGGGAAGCTTAATAGGAGATTAGAGAGAAGAATTAGGGAAGCTTTTGACCTTTTGGCTTTGGGAGATTGGTCAGAGATTTTGCAGCCTTTTTTTTTAATCTGATTTGGAGATGTAACCAAATTGATTTTGTATACAATAATTGAATATCTTCAAATATTTGAATCTTTAATGGTTTAAAATACCCTTATACTATCATCCCTCCTCACTATCCAAATCTGCATTTAAATTTGAATATTCATTAAATAAATATAACTGATTCTAGATCAAGAATTTGAATAAACGATATCAAAATCCTTTTTACATTGCAACTTGAAACACATTGGTTTATTATAACTACTTCTTTATCATTTTCATTTTCTAATGATTCATTTCTCGTTCTTTTGTATGATTTTTATGAATCCATAAAAAAAATAATTAGGGACAAAATAATATATAATTTTACTATTTTAACAGTTAAATGACACTGAAATCAATCAAAAATTAAATTATAGTCCTTACTTAATTACTTAAGAAAAGTCCAAAAATGGGGATAATAAGCTTTGTGATTTTAGCATCCAATGATACTAGTTAAAGATTATATTTTACGAAATTACAATTTGTTTATAGTTTTTTTAATTATTTAGAGTGGATAAAATTCAAACTATTGAAAAAAATATATTTATAATGATATTTAAGAAATGATTTTGACGATAAAATATCAATTTAGAGTATAAAAGGTTAAAAAAATTTGTGGAAAGAAGAAATTTATAAGGTGTTAAAATCGAATAATTAAATTGAGTAATATGTAAAGTTGGGAGAGTAAATTGTAAAAAAACACATTATCAAAAAGAGAAAAATAAGCTACATTGGTATTTTATAACGGTAGAGAATCATTTGGTTTAAATTTGATCAAAGTGGACTTAAAACAAGGGAAGATTTGAAGAAACAAGAAAATCACAAGTAAAGTTGAGAGAATAAATTAGAAAAGAATTGAATCTACATATATATTATTCAGTAATCGAGGGGTGTGTAGTTCAAATTTAATAAACAAACTTAAAACTAATGAGTAACTGAACAAATAAATAAATTATAAATTAAATCGTAAAATATTAAATTACTTATCTAAAGATCAAAATAACATTTTATTTTTTGATTATTCAAAATTCAAAAATAAAAACTTAACTTAAGCTCAAAATCTAAACAAAAAATTTAATTATTTAGAATAATTCGACTCAAATAACTCAAAATTTAAATATATATATATATGTTGATTTAACACATGATATTTTTTAAAAGAAATATTATGAGAAGTTATTGAAAATTTAAAATTTATTTATAAAATTAATAAACTTTTAGAAATATAATGTTGATTTAACACGTGATATTTATTAGAGTTGTTATTATTATATTTTTGAATAGTTTAAGGTAATTATAAAATAGTATTCATTTAAGATTTTTCTTAATCATATACCACTGTAAACGTAGATGCTCAAACTTAGGATCTCAAGATAAAACAACGTTCTCCTTAACCACTAAAATTATTCAATAAATTTAACTTAATATGATATTACGAAGAAATATTATAAATACATTGAATGTAATTTAGTGTAGAGAGCGGGTAACGAGAACTCTCAACCTAAATACGTAAGCCAGCTAACCAACCTAAAGTCTTCCCTAATAAATACAAATAATAAAAGAGGTGGATTTGCTCATCCAACTTGGGTGGCTGCCTAAGTAACTATTTCTTGAGAAAGACAAATCCATCTTATCTCACAACTTCCTACCCTCTTTATCTTTTTTAATAATTAAAATAGAAAAACTCCTCAATTATTAATGTATGTGTACCCTTGAAAGTTGAACAAAAAAATTTATATCATTAACAAAACTTTTGGTTACAATCATCATGTCATATACACTCAGCTGTTGAATGCATAATACTGTAGTTGTTCATTGTCCTCCCTTTGTTAAGCTTTTAGGTTAGATTTCAATCATCATAGTCATTCTTCTATTTTGGTTTCTAAACACTTGTTTAAAATTAATTATTTTGACTAAGAACTTTGTGAGGAAAGTTCTCTATTCAATTCAATATTATTACAAGACCCCAGAATGGTGAATGAGATTAGTGCCATGGGAATTCATTAACGGTTGGCTTTAAAAACATCGGTGCTATTGACAGTTTCAGCCAGGAATGACATGTCTTTATAATAACTACATGAACCAACTCTAAAATTTAAATTTGATTAAGTTAGCATAGCTGGAAAAACAAATTTAAAAATTATTATTATTATTATTATAGTACATCTTCTCTTGATGAAGATAATGGAGGAAAAGGGATAGGGTGATTGTGATGATTATGACAAAAATAAGTGGTTTCCAAATAATGTCCACTCATGGCAATTGGACCCTAAACCCTATTGCAGATCAAGGGGTTTCATTCTTCTATATTTGCACTGTGAAGGCATCAAGTTGATGAGTTTGATGGGATGCAAATGCCAACAATTTTTTATTAATATCCCACGGTATTGTGTATATTTAATTCAAAGACCAAGCTTTATAAATTAATTGTATAGAGCCTGATATGATCTTTTTAATGTCAAGTCCGTCCACCTCACAAGCTTAGCCAAAATAGATATACTCAAAACGGCAATCGTTTGACTGTGCAATTTCACTGTGTACGGTAAAAGTATCTCTACATCTAATCACTCTATATACAAATATATTGGAAAGTCTGGTATTATAACTTAATTAATTTACACGGTCATTTTTTGTCACTTTATTATTGAAGTCATAATTCTCAATATTTTAAGGCTTTTTAAATAATATCACATGCTTTTTAAATATTCACTAACTAATATAATATCACATGCTTAAAATTTTCCTTTTAAATTTTTTTTGGTTACATGTGAATGTATGATTATTAGGGCACACAATCTAAAATGGATTACAAAAAATGTTTAATTATTAGCAAACACATGCAAATGAATTCATAATTTTGAAAAGTGATGACAAACTTGGTTACATGTACTGATGAAGCATAAAGTTTTTTACAGAATCCATAACCCTAAGATAAAATCTACAATATTTGGGGGGGGGGGGATTTGATTGTTTTCCCCTTGGAAAAAGCCTGCGTTTTCTGGAAATATATACTTTTACTTCGTCTCAGAAAGTGTATCAAATTTAGGGCTACAAAAAGGCCCACAAAATAAGATTTTTTTTTATTAATGATTCTCTTTCCCACTCACCCACTCACTGTGGACATGGGAAACAAGTTGGAAATAAAAATGGGGTCCCAATAGGTGTTAAATAATAGTAGTAACAGTCCCTTGTACATGTTCTCGTGTACGGAATGTCGAGGTATCTCCTGATTGCAGCAATCGATTAGAATTCCAAAAAGAACACAAATATATTCACCACAAACTACATTCTTCCATATACAGCCAGGCACATTAAAATCCCACCTCAATTACTAGTAATTTAGAAGCCCCCTTGACTACAAAACCTGATAGGAATTGAACACTACATTATGGCTGTATCTAAGTTAAACAATATCACTTCCTAAGGGTTATGATTGGTCATCATCTGATAAGCAAACAATGTCAGTTGCTCCCCCACTTTTCTGTGCCGAGTTAGGGTGACTACTTAGCACGTGAGATTCCAGATGGAACCTCGTAGTCGACCTTGAACTATTTGGTAACAAAAAACCTGGGGGATTTGCATCGACACTAGATGTATTATTTACACCCATTAAAACATCCAATGAAGGTAAACGAGAGTTATGTGAAGATGCCAACCCTCTTGCAATTCCATGTTGGGTCCTACCAGATTGGCCTGTAGTAGATGCCTGCCTGTGTGCAGGGGGGTTAACATACGACTGACTCAACGACAGAATCTGCAGGGTGGTTATTATTTTCCTGCTGACTTGACATTCCAAGAGAATGCAATGGGAGACTGCTTGGGGAAATGGATGATGAAGGCCTAAATGGCTGTAAATGAGGGGCAGGAGCACGAACTTCAGTACCTCTTTGAAGGTTTCCTGCTGAAGAGGAGACGTTACTGATATGGAGATGTCTAGTTGGAGTGCCTGAGTATAAAGCCGAAGGGTTAACAACATGTAATGGTGGACCCATTGTTTGTGCATCGACTACAGCATGAGAAACAGTTCCCATGCTACTAGCTGGGCCATTTAAAGGGATCCCTGAAGCAGTGGAAGGCTGCCAAGATGGACTCATGGTTTGTGCATTGACAGCAGCAGATGAAACAGTTGGCATACTCAAAGCAGATCCAGTTGAAGGGAGACCGCAAGCAGTGGAAGGTTGTTCCATCTGTTGCGATGACAGTTGAAACAGCTGCTGCAAGAAAATAGAATTTGCCCCTGCCAGAAGGGAAAAAAAATAGTTAGTCAGTTCGTATAATGAAACATTACAGAAAGGCAAATCTTATTATTCGCAAGCATATAAGGCAAAGCGTAAATAGGCATTCTCTTTAAACATGCAATACAGCAAGCAGCGGTAAGAACTGCCTCTAAATTTTCTCAAAGTGAATAAAACTATACCATGTCCCAAAAATGATCACTCAACAGATCTGTGATTGATCAGGTACCCTGGCCTGACCAAGCACCAATGTATGGAATTTCAAGTAGATAATCAGATCATCATATGATTCTCTATTCTTCCATAAACTCTGTTAAATTTTCCAAATAAAGTTGAGATTCACCTTGCTTTTCACAAGCTGAACCAGATGGCCTATTATCCATACATTTAGACCTGAAAGCCTCAGCTAAGATCTTATTCAAGAGAACTTTATTGTAATTTACATCAAGCTGCTTTTTCTGGAGAAGAAATTCTACTTCCTTCTCCTTAAGTTTAACTTCAAACTTTCTACGAATCTGAGCTACAGCCTCCTCAATCTCCTTGTCACGTTCTAATTTCAGCTGCAGATTCTGCTCAAAAGGGGAAATTCTCAGCAGAAAGTAAGCTATATATTATCGTCAGTAGATAAGCGAACAAGTGAACAAGACACTAACCGTGTCTTCACGAATCTTGGTGGTTTTCTCTTTGACTTTAATTATTCTTTCCATTTCAATTTGAAGTGGGTCATGATACAAAGTTATAGGCATCCGAGATGAAACAGCAGGTGCAGTCGGCAAGGGAAGGCCATTAGAAACAAAAGGGACTGGAGCTGTCCTTGTTTCTGAAGCCTGCCTCAGAAGCCCATCAAGAACACCATCAATTGGTGAATCCAGAGGCTGCAAGACATCTTGATTGGAGATCTCAATTTGGTTTACCACTGGTTGCCTTGGATCCTGAGAACTTTGGTTGGCAGTTTGGCCTTCATTGTTTGATTGATGTTCAATTGCACTAACAGAAGGTAGATCAGGAGGAGAGAGGTTAGAAGCAGATTCAGAGGATCTCAGCTGCTGCATTTGCTCTGTAAGTTCCACAGGTGTGGCATCAGGATTAGACACGTTGCAAGTCACATCAACGGCACTACTAAAAGGTGAAGTTTCAGCTGCCTGGGAAGCATTTTGCATTTCACTGTTTGCAAGGCATCTTGCTTGCACTTCAGAGGAAGCAAATGTTAGAGATTCGACATCTGTGGATACCTGCCCAAATAAGATAGTGTTACTAGATTGGTGACTCGCCACAACAGGGTATCGAAAGTATGATCTCTTCAAATCTCAAAACAATCTCCTTACCATAAGTATAGATTAAATTAGGGTTAATATAACTAAACAATCTCCTTACCATAAGTATAGATTAAATTAGGGTTAATATAACTTTTGCTACCTAACTTTGGAATTGATGTGCAATTTCCAGCTTTTTCTGGTGCAATTAGTACCTAACTTTTTTAATGATGCAATTTCGTACCCAACATTTTTTTGGGTGCAATTAGGCATTCAACTCTTATTTTTTGATGCAATTAGGCACTGGAATTTTTTAAATTACATGTGTTCATATTTAGAATTTTAACGCTTAACTTTGAATTTGAAACACATCAGCCCCTTAACTAAATGGCATCAAAATTATAAAGTATGAACCAATCAAAATTGAACATACGTTTTTTTTTTTTGAAAAGGGTTAAATTTTTTATGTTAAATTGCAATATCATACAAATTTGACAATGGGATGAGCCTCATTAAAAACTGAACATATGTAATTAATAAAATATTAGGTAGCTAACTGCACACACAGAAAAAAAAACGGCCCCTAATTGCACTAAAAGAATTAGGTACCTAATTGCACACAAAAATGTTGGGCAACATATTGCACATCAATTCCAAAGGTAACAGAACTTATACATTAAATAACCACAATGTAGGGCAGCCATAATAAAGCAAATATATATTACTTTGCTTTTTGGCGTGAAATGGAAACAAGAGAAACAGATTTCAATAGAAATAGCACCATATAATAGTCCAAAAATGATATTTACTCAAAACTTTATATAATAAATTAAAAAAATATATCTTACATACCAGATCTGATGAATGTTCTTGGGGTTCAGATTCCATGTTCACACTGCATAGTACGCCATCCTGCTGGTCATTTTCAATGGGGCTTGTTCCATCATTCTCTCTTTGGCCACTGCCATCGTCGAGGACTTCACCAGGAGCAGTTTCAGTTTCTTCCAAAGAGACCTCTTTAACAGGCATATAACACGCAGCTGTATCAGGTATTTGTTCTTTAGATGAGGATTTCATGCAGACAATAATATCAATTCCATCACAGGAAGTTGCAATCTCAGATATACCCTTTGGAATTTCTTCATCAGGCACATTCAATGTAGGAATCTGTTTCTCAAATGAACATTCAGGAGACATCATATTCTCCTGACCTTCAGAAGAACAGAAAGCTTCAGGTCTACTCAAGGGAATATCCCGGTCAACTCTGTTTAATGTGGCTCCACCAGGAACTTCTTCAGATGAAGGTACCAACAATGACGGCAAACTCTCATAACCTTCCCTAGAACTGAGAGTCTCAGGTGCCCCCAAATGAACCTCACCATCAAAATTGTCTAATGCAGCTCCATTAGATATTTCTTCCAATGGAAGTGCTTCTGCTGACACAAGGTTCTCCTGGCCTTCACCAGAATTGGCAACCACAGTTTTTCGCAAGTGAACCTGTCCATCAGCTTTGCTTAATTCATCAGGTAACTTCACTAGCTCTACCCTGGCCCAGGTCTTCACTGATTCGACCCAACGAGTCTTTCTTTCTTGCATATTGGTTCTTGCTGCCACTTGTAAGGCCTCAAGATCCTTAAGTTGTGTATGCATCCGCCGTTCTAGTTCATCAAACTCCCTTGCATATTCAGTGTCCAAATTCTTGAGCTTGTCAGTCCTTGTCGAGACATTACTATGCAAACGTATAACCGCTGCTTCTGTTCTTTTCTTATTCTCGAGCTCTTCCTTTTTTTCTTGGTACTTCTGGTTAAATTCTTCTATTTCCTGCTTATGTTTTTCAGTCAGTTTTTTCATTAGCTTATTGATTTTTTTCTGAATGTCTTTTATGCTTTTTATGAGATCTCTCTGTGCCAATTGAATTTCTGGGGCAACTGCAGACTCTGAAATGGTCTGTATATCAGAACTCTCTCGAAAACTCGACAAATCTTCAACCTTTTCTTTTATGTTTTGCTGGTATGATGTTGCATCAGTATAAACTCTTTCAACAGCTTTACTTGATAGTCCAGAAGATTTAGGAGAGCTTGGAAGCTTCAAATACCCTGTTCGGTACAGAAACATTCTCTTCAGACACCGCAGCAGTGAATAAACATAGTCTGCATCTTCTTTCTTGCAGGTGAAACCTAGATGCTGCTTTGCAAGTGCAACTGATTCTTTGTGATCAAGTTTCTGCTTCAAAAAAGCAGCAGCACTCCAACACTGAATGCACAGAGACCAAAACAATGAGATGTTAAAGAACCAGAATACTATTAATGCCTGCTTACATATGTGCACCAGGCAAGATAAAAGGTTTCAGAAATCTGGAATATCAAATAGCACATACACAAAAATACATCAGCGGTATGTGTACAACATCCCAACAGAATGCTCAATGGTTCCATATTTTATGCATCAAGTGAACTCATATAAAGACAAAAATAAGCACATACATAATATATTAATAAATAAATCCATAAAAGGTATTTTTTATCAAAGAATGACGATGGGAGGGAAATAGAGATACCGACATACCAGCTCATTAAAAATACTTGATAGAAATCTAAATTACTTTTAAAGGTTGAAGTTCAAAGTTTCAAGCCATTCCATCTAAATTATATACTTCGTCATACTTTATTGAGTGGATCACTAGAAATTCAGCAGCAAAATCTTGAGAGAACATTTTTAGTGCTAGCTCAAAATAATAAGAAAACAACTTTCTCAAATGGATGGTAGAAGTTTCATCTACTTTATTGAGAGCTCTCACCACTTGACATCAAGAGTAAACAACAAAAAATTTCACAGAATGCTGCAAACGTATCAGATACAAGTAGAAAATATTCTCTCCTCCGTCATCCACCTGTTGTCCGCCGCCGTCGTCAGCCACCAGCCGCCGCCGTCCGCCGCCACACTCCGACCACCGTTTTGACGCCGTTTTTTCCTGGGAAGATCGCCGGCCCACGGTGATTTCAAATCTGGCCTTAGATTTGTGATTGAAACATTCAATCATCGCAGATCTTGACGAAGTCCTCTGCCGTTTTTAGCCCGCTGTCCTTGCTTATCTCCGCCACACCACCGGACTCAGCATCTTCACGCGACCAGAACCCCCTTTCCAAGTGTCGAGAATAGTTTCTATTCTCCATTTATTTCCAGTTTACTGGGTCGGCAGAAATATATGTCATTTCCTCCTCCTTCCTGTTTATTTCCAGAACACACCATGAAACGCAAACCCCCGTCTCAGCCCAGGAATCCTAGAAGGTTTGCTGCTTCATGCGCGGTGACTGCATCCTCTGTGAGTCACTCTACTGTTCCTCCTTCAACGTCAAGATTCTCTCCACTCCCTCTTGAACCAGAATGCTTTGGTGCTTCTGTTAATATTTCTCTTGATTATGCCAAGGATTTAGAAGCGAGAGTGAAGGAACTTAAAGCTCAAGTGTCTGATTTGAAGAAACGGGAACAGGAACTAAAAAGGTTGGAGAATGCATTAACACGAGGGAGGTTTTTCAAGACATCTGGACTCGTCGGTGCAACCACTTCATCTTATTCCGGTAAGGAAAAACGTGCACTGGAGACAGAAAAGGAGAGGACAGAGACTCGGAAACGACACAGGCGAGTTTTCACCAGACGTTTGCTGGCCGGATTGAGAAATTACGGTAATTACCCTCTTCCCCCGCATGCTGCTATGAATGATGTATTGGCTGCCTTGGCCCGTGAGGCTGGTTGGACAGTAGAGCCCGACGGCACTACGTACAGAAAAGCTCCTACGCCCCAAAATCAGCAAAATTTTGGAACGAATACAGTGAAGTCAGGAAGGAAACATAAGGTCGGAAAGATTTCTGCAGTACAAGCAATACCAGCTCTTCCTATCGCTGATATTGATCTTGTTGGAACCAAGGAGAGCACCACGATAGGGCACTCCAATGAAAAGTTTTCCCAAGTAACGAGAAGGATAAGAAATGGGTTTCATAATTCGTTGAAGGAAGATCAACCAAGAATCGGAAATGGGTTCATAAATGGTTGTTACACGATATTTATCGAAAACCTTCCAAAGACGATCCATTGGAAGAGACTTAGGTCTATATTTGACATTCACGGTCAAGTTATTGATGCCTTCATTCCAAAAAAAAAAAACTCGAAAGGGGTTCATTTTGGGTTTATTCTCTATGCAACAATTGAGGAAGCCAGGATAGCGATATCAAAGATGAATGGTAATCATATTTACGGCAGCAAAGTTAGAAATTTTGCTAACCAAATTCAAGCCAAAGGACTAGCTGGCTTCACGCTAATGAGAGCTGCTGGAAATGCGGTTCTAATGGTTTTTAAAGACTCCGATTCGTTGAGAATCGTGAAGGATGAGAAATTAGAGACTTGCAGAATGGTTTTCCAGAGTGGAAACTTGGTCAAAGAGCCTAGTGGTGGAGTGCCGTCGCGTCTGGTTAGCTTGTGAAGGTATTCCTTTTCACGCTTGGAATTGGAATACTTTCAAAAACATTGCAACTAAGTGGGGCAAATTAGTAGCAATCAACAACAGTTGTGAGTTTCCATCGTCTTTTGATCGGGCTAAAATTCAAATACTCACAAAGGCTCAAGGGAGAATTGATGAGTTGATGGAGTTGAAGGTCGGCGATAATTTGTTCAAAATCATGGTGCACGAAGTTAATCCTTCCTTCAAACCTAATTCTTGGGTCCCTAAAGATTGTGATATTTCACTAGAACTTGTTCCTTCAATTGGTTCTTAATTGCTCGACAGTTGTATTCAGAGGCGTTTATTTTAGTTTTCGGTTGTAAATGTTGGTTTTTATTGTATTTGAAGGTGTTGTTAGATGGGTTAATAGGACATATTGGTTGAACTACTGTTGCAGTTTTTGGGTGGTTTAGGGTTGTTCCCTGTTTATCTGTTTCCGTTAAGGGTGTTTACCATGTTGTATCTTATGTAATTTCTTATGTTCAATAAAATCCTAAGGCACTCTTTTCCTCTTTCCGTTGATTAAGGAGCTACCCTACTAGTTCCATTAATCAAGAAGGGGGATTTTAACGACGCCTGAAATCTTATAAAAAAAAAAGAGAATGCTGCAAACGTAATAAACACTTTTTCACATTTAACTACACCAAGTGGAAAGTCGTCAACTAGGTATGCCATCAGAAATAATAACCACAAAATCAACAGCAGATTCAAACATATTACCAAAACAAGGAAAATTAGCTCCATTTTCATAAAATATTAGGCATAAAAGATGCATGATCCCGAGTCCTAGGCAAGGGTTTCTGTACAGGACTTCCATCAAATCCACATGCAGTACAAAGACATAATTAGAAACACTACAGAAGCCGTCTAAAGGAAGATGAATGACAAATTTGAAGTCAAAATTCAAATTGCAGGAAACTTGAAGAAAAGGGTACAATTGCAAATTCTACAGATGCTGTGTATGAGAAAGATGATTGGACATCAAAATTTAAGCCAATTTACATGAAACTTGAAGTGAAAGGCAAGCAGAAAATCATCCTCTAGTACGTAGATGACTGTCAAACACAATCAATCATGCATATAAAAGGCGCCATTATCCACAACTGCAATATGAACTTAAGAATATAAGAGAATGAATATCTAACCAGAGAAATTTGAAATGCCTGCAAAATGGTTGCTGGTTCCCTATGGACCAGATGATTATTCATGACATATTCAAGAAACCTTTCAACCATGGCCCTGACATCCTCCTGCAACATAAAGAAAAGGTACCATAAAGCAGACTGTTATAAATACCGTGTTCGCATAATAGTAAGGCACTGATGTAAAACCATGGCAGAGAAAGAGAAGTGTAGGTCCACTGCTAAACAAAACAAATAAAATAATTTTAATAACTAGCCCCTTGTATTAGAAAAATAGATAAGGATCAACAATATTTCCAGGGGAAATTGACAAACAGGGTGACTTGTCTAAAAAATGTGAAGCTAAGCTGTCCCGTATTGCAAAACCCTATTGAAGTATTTTTCTCCCGTTTTGTCATACTAAGATAAATAATAAGAAAACGAAACTTGAATATCCAATTTACTCAGCCAGGGATGATTTCGAAGGAAACAATAGACAACGTCAACTGCAGTTCAAGATAGAGGGTATTTTTGAGAACTAAATCCAGTAACTAGTTTTTTGCTGTCTATTATTGTTCTCCCGTAGCTTTCATTCTACACAGAGAGGGAACAGGTTCTCAGAAAAACCATATTCAAATATCACTAAGTTAAATACCCCCTCCTGCTAAAACCCTTTATTTGGTTTCTTTTCATTCTAGTAAACAATATAGACATTATAGGCTGACTAGATACAGAACTAAATAAGGTACATACTTTAAGATGTAGAATTTCACAAAGTTTTGCTATTTGTGGCCTCAAAAGAACATGGAGATTCTTTTGTGAGTCACGCTGTTTTCTTCTGCTCTCCCATTCACCCACTTTAAGAGCTGGCATTTCTGAGATAATATTGGCTTCATGAAGTGAGTTACAGGTTGTGTGAATTTTATCACTCCCAGAAGCTGAGGTTCCTGCAAACAATAGGAGAAGAAGAGTTGGAAACAGCAGTTGGGAAAGAGAACTCTGTTCTACCAATAATGTAGTTCATTGCATTAACATTGCCCACTACCTTCCTTGTCTGCAGCAGCCAATTTCCTCTCTTGCAGCAGAGCTTTTGGAGAGGGATGATCATTGCCATCACCAACACACTTCTTACGTCTCTTTCCAACTTCAGCACTTTCAGCATGAGGTTCCTTTTTTGACTCATCAAAATATTGAACCCTTTTCCGATTCCTCTGAGAAGTAGAAGTAGAATACTTCCACCTAGGACACTTTCCCTCCAAAAGCTTTGTCCAAAATGTGTGGGCTGGATCTTCATCCATCACTCGAATTCTCTGCTCACCAAACAATTGCATTTCTGTCTTATATGTTCCCTGATTTTGTTTGGCTTGTAAAATTAGGGATAACTTGCTTTTATCATCTATACCAGTTTGATTCAGTATGGTAGAAAATTCTTGAATCACATCTTTTAAATGTGATTGCTGAGACAAGGTACTTGCATCCAGCGTTGAAATATCGTGAAACTTTTCCAATTGACTGAATAGGTATGAAGTCCCCCATTTAAGCAGCATGTGACTAGTACTGGGGCTTATATTCTCTATGTTGCTATTTTTTCTTTGATAGAAATAGTAGGCCTCATTAAAATTCTCTATGTTGCTATCAGTTGCCTTATCTTGTTTTGAAAGAATCAAAAGTTTTTCCTCCACAGTAAATGATGAATACAAGCGGAATACTTTAATTTGCTCAAATTGATAATCAAGAGTTATCGTCTGCAGGGATCTTAGATCGTTCACTGGACTCCAGTCACTTCCAAATATTATCACAGTACCAACTGCAGATAACTTGATGCTGGGAAGACAAGCACGTGATTCTAATAAAAAGACAAATCTCTCCCTCTCATTATTGAATCTGTTCAAAGCAGATTGCTTTTTTGAAAAGACGACACTATTATCAACACGTTCATAGGAAGCTACACCAAATCTTTGACGCAGAAAGTCATCCAAAATATCTCCAATCAAATCCCTTCCAGAACCACCAATGTACTGCCAATAAAAAAATTTACATAAGAAATATTAAATAGCTGAAATTTGTTTCTGCGTGACAAATAAAAAATATGTATATATAGTTTGGCCTGGAAGGAGTTTCATCAGAAAATCCAGCTGAAAATACAACTTTTCCAAGAGATGTATTAAAATTCTCACGAATTTGTCAATAAGTCTCTCATTGCAGCTTCCGATGAAATGTCAAATTAGTTATTTAAACTTTAGCCTCTAGAAGCTCATATTCAACTGCTACAAAATATAACATTTCATACTAAAGGCCTGGTTTGCCACTTCAGCTTCTTGGGGCAGGAAAGATGCTCCAATAGCAAGGCAAACAGGTACAAACTAGAATTCATTTTTATATGCTTGACAAGCATAAGAGCCTGTAATTACTGCTACGAGCACTGTTCTTAGATGGATTCCTAGGAGTTGTAATATGGAGGCCGACAAGTTAGCTAAGCAGGGGATTGGTTGATTGTAGTAAGCTTTTTGTTTTAGTGTTTTGTGTTTTTCTTCGGGCTATGTATAGGCTAAAAGTCTGTAATGCTGTTGCTAGTTTGGTATACAGGTCACCCAATCAAAGGCTGTTGCCTTAGCTTAGATGGTTTAACCTAAGTTACTGTTGTTGTATATGGTTGTTTACGGGTGTTTTGTGGTTTTGTTTTTGATGGGGGTGTTTCTCTGGATGTATCTTATGTAATTTCAGATATTTAATGAAATCCTAAGGCACTCTTTTCCTCCTTCCTCTGATTAAGGAGCTTTCTTACAGCTCCATTAATCAAGAAGGAGGTTTTTAACGAGGCCTTCAATTCTTATAAAAAAAGCATAAGAGCCTTTATTTCTTACTAAAACTGTCAAAGCAGTAAAATAGCGCGGCAGATATAAAACTTGGAACTTATAGGAAACAGAGATTTTATTTCATCAGCTTTTCACAAACTCATAAATGATTATAAAGATCCCAGTTATGAATATCTACAAGCTTTTCACATGCATTAATCACTTTATCATCATGATCTACAGAATATCACTAATCTACAGCATGAGTAATATAACTAAATACAATTGGTTCAAAACCAATTGCAATGAAAAATGTACCTGGAAAAGAATAAGCACTTTTAACTCTCGTTTCTTGATCTCCCAAAGCATTGCATCAAGAAGTTGTAATTTGCCACTTGCTTTTATTCCAACCTCCAAATACTCAAACTCTTGAAGGCCTTTAGTGAGCAACATTTGAAGGGATTGATCCACACCATAAGGATGATCACAACACTGTCAAGAATTACCATGAAAACAGAATATCAACTCATAATATGATGTTATAATAGTAACTTCTACACATCTTACTAGTCCTCATACTAATGCAAATGTTATGGAAAGAGTTCAAATGGCTATTCATCACACGACTGAGGAAAAGACAAACCAGGTGATTTTTATAATTTTGAAAATAACAAATAAATAAAATAATTTCAAACAGCAAAACTCAAGTGGTGAGGTGGGGTGGGGATTCAGTAAATATCCTATGTTTGAGCTTTCGCGAACCATCCCATTCAAAAATATTTGCATTTCGAGAATTTCCAAAAGCACCAACAGTTCACTGGCTCCAAAATTACAACTAGGTATAATGCATCCAGAATTTCTAAGATTATAATTGAAACATAATCTAATCCAAAATTCTGAAGTCCATGGCAAACACAATGTCAGGAAAACAACATGAATTCTTTGATGTGTTGGATGATATTATATCAAATGTATAGATAGAAAAAGAAAAAGGACCCAAATCTCTCAATAGCATGTGATTGAAGAATAAAGTGAAGTAAACTCAACCTTTCGGCTGGATACAACAATGCTACGGAGAACTCCAACAGGATCAGTCTTTGAAGGTGAGCACAAAGAGAGAGAATTTGAAACTAGAGTAAAACAATACTTCTCTAATTGCACATTGGATAAGAGTACAGGAACCCAGTACTCCAGAAACCTAGATGATTCTAGCTTGCACTCATAAGCAACATACTTCGCCAACCTCTCCTTCAAAGTGCCAATATTGTCACTTGAATTCGATAGCTCACTGTCATTTGAATCACTTCGAGAATCAAGCAACGAAAGAAGATTAAGGTACTCAGCCGCATTACCCTGCAGAAACCATTTAGCATATATAAACCAACCGGCTTAAGAAAATAACAGCTACAACAAATGTAGAAATGCCAAACCTTCAGTTGACTGCTGATTATTAGAAGCCTTTTACTGGCAGTTAACATCTTAATTTGTTCAAAACAATAACCAATTCTGGGATTTTGGCACTCATCCACTATTATCGCCTCCCATACTATGCAATCAAGCACGTTCAAGTCCTGCCAAACCACATTAAAATTAACAAGCAAAATCATGTCAGATGAATCAAATTTCAAGCAAACTCATCACATAAATAACAACAATGATGCAGGGGTACATCCTAATAACTGAAGTCTGAAATCAAATTGATCTAAACAAGATGCACAGGCAGCAAAAAAATTTGCACAAAACTAAAAGGGTACAATGTTTGATCCTTGCAAAACTTGTCCATCTTAAACACATGCATTAAATTTAAAAACTTTAATTATTACAGAAGCTGGATATATACCTCGCTGATAACTTCTGGTGAGGTTATAAGTACTTGAAACATTATACAACCTCCATCATCATAAAACTCCAGGTTACTAATGCTATTCCGAATTTCTTTACTGCCACTGTAAACAACAACATCAACAGATGGCGCTAAATGCAAGAACTCCTCATCCCATGAATATTGTGAAGCAGAGGAAGAGATAATCAGAAAAGGCCTAGAGATCTCAGACGAAAAGGCTAGAATGGAAGAAATAACATTTGAAATCCTTTCCTGCAAAAAGTAGGGACAGCTCAGAACCACTGCTAATGAAACTATGCAGTTTAATACCATCATGGATTGCACCAAAGCGATCATTAATATGAAGGTGTGAGAAACCATTGACATTAGACAATTCAGTGGCGGATCCAGAAATATTTTTGAGAGTTGGCACATATATACTACTAACAATAAAATTTCATGTTGTGTTTGAAGGAGGGAAGGTTGATCAAGCTGAACTATTCTTTATTGCTAGGTTCAGACTAGCCTCATGGTATCTAGCAAAGTTTCAATCAGGCTTCAATCTCTAAGGATTTGCTTGTTTCAAATCCTGCCTTAGGGGATTCTTGTTTTCCTCTCCCTAGACCGGTAAAAACGGTGATTAAATGGTCCCCTATTAAATTAAATGTAGATGCTGCTACAACTGCTGACTGGTCGAGAAGTGGGTTAGGTGGTGTTTTGAAAGACGACTCTGGGTCAAATCATAGGGTCTTATAAGGAGTCAGCAGGTCCTGGACCTCCTACTTTGACGGAATTGAAAGCTATCCTTGAGGGCTTATTCTTCTTTGACTCTATTCGACACAGGATCAAGGATCGACTTATCATTCAGAGTGACTGCAGGGTGGCTGTTGACTGGGTTAAGGATTCTGATTCATGTCCGAATGTTTATGCTCACATTGTTAAAGATATTATTGATAAGCTTAGAGCTTGTGATGGTGTTATTATGTGGGTTAATAGGACAGCTAATTTAGAGGCTGATACCCTAGCTATAGCTGGAATTGTTGATCTCTTTTGTTGATTTTAAGGGATGTTTTTATTCTGCTTTTTGATCTCCTTAAAGGAGCTGAGGGTATTGTACTCTTATGTTCTAATCCTATTATTAATGAAACTCAAGGCACTCTTTCTCCTCCTTTCGTTTGATTAAGGAACTTTTCCCAAGTTCCATTAATCATGAAGAGGGTTTCTTGTGAGGCCTACTTTTCCTATAAAAAAAACAATAAAATTTCATACGGGGTAAACACAAATAAAATTTCAGGGTGGGAACCATCAATAAAGTTAATTAATATAAAGAAAATTGGATTTCAGGGTGGGCACGTGCTTGCCCACCCTGACCTCCATGTACATCTGCCACTGAGACAATTGATGTTTATTATCTTCTAAAACCAACAAATATTAAATAATTTCAGAAGATAAACCAATTACCATTATATGAATTGCGCATAGAGAATAGGACTAATATAAAACATCATGTTGTTCTCATTTACAGATGCACTACAAACCTGAATAACAATAATTTTTAGCAAACATACCTGATCATCAAAAATGATAGCATTCTGGCCCTTATGCCAATAGTTACATAATTTGCTAACAGCATCATGATTAGCATCCATTCCAGATGAAACTGCAGCCGGTAAGTGAGAAAATTTCAGGGATTCAACTGCTCTTTCCTGCAAATGTTCCTAATTGGTTAGAAAAAAAATCAATTAAATAAAAATATGATGTCTTTAGAGAGGTCTACCTCCATCTAGTTGACTGCACCTCAATGGCCTCACTACAGATATTTTTAAAAAAGAAGGTATGTGAATCCTAGGATATCTGTTCACTAGTTCAATCATGCAATAATTACTGCATAGGTTATAAAATGGTTTCCAGGACAGATTAATTTTCACAGCAGCAAAAATACCATATCATGCAGTACCAAGTCTGGTAAGCTATAACATTTTTCACATTCTTTACCTTATCAAATTTAGAAGCTCTCTGGGCCTTCTTGCGAGTTTCATATTCTTGTATAAGCCGCTGACCTTCGGGACAACTGAAGAAGGAGGCATTCCCCAACTCCCATGAAGCATGCTCATAATTAAGACCACACCATTTCACAAGCCACTCGACATGACAGTTTAACTTATCAACATCATGCTCTTTATTATGATGCTCACCACACTCCTTGGGAGCTGTCAACAATCTTTTCTGTAGCAAACGATGTGGGACAGCCCATTGTTGCTTCCAAACGGCACCCTGAACAAAATAGCATATCTGAATGATCAAATGCATCACAAATAACCTTTATGTAATGATAATCTACAGAAGAAATATGACTCGGTGAAAATAATCGCATCCAATAATTGTAAACCTGTTTTTTTCGGTTATATTTTGCAATGAGTGATGGAGCTTCAAGCAACACCTGATTTTCTGGTACCCAACGATTATGAACATGAGCAAGACCTTTGTATTTCACAAAATATTGCTTCTCGCTTTGCAATCCTATAACCCAATACCAAATGCAGGGAATTATTATCAGCAACTACTCATTCATCCAACATGTTACTGATACAAATTCAAGCAGTTGTCGAACACAATAACTAAAAATAGCATTGCTAAGAAATTCAGCAATATGATTCACAAGTGCAGTCAGTAAACAACTATGGCAAAATCTAAAGAAATAAGTTATCAAAGGAAAACGAATATAAGGAAATAAGCAGATTATTAATTTAGCACATACCATCATCTGAAGTCTCCAGTTCTCTAGAATCCCAAATTGCTTCAATTCCCTCAGAAACTGAATAAATCCCTGATTCTATTTTTTTCCACACACATTCAGGACAGTACCAAACTCCAAGAGGAAACTCCTCAAGGGGAGGTTCAAGACATGAAAGATGGTAGCGTCTTTGGCATCCTTTTCCATGACAGCATCTAAAATATGATGGAAGATTGTAAGATAACAAAATATATCTAAACTTTACTCGCAAAGGGTGATCCGATATATGCAGACCTAATGAAGACATGTCAAACCGTCAATTGTCCAATGTCTCTTTTAAACATAAAGTCGTGAACAAAGTAAAATAACATTACAAAATTTCTCTGAAGCATGGATGGACATGAAGATACATCAATAAGCACAACTCAAAAGACTTAGAAAGGTAGTAAATCGAAATATCCTACCAATAAAAAGCATCTATGACAGAAAAACTACCTGCTGTGCCAATGATTGCTCATTAACATGTTTCCTATCAACTATATAAAATTCCAATATAGATTAACCAATAAAAATGGGTTACTCACAAAAGCTTTCCATCAAGTACGCATATGATGCAAGTACTCTGACCAGAGCCTGTTTGAAGTGCTTCAGAGGGCATATGCTGCTGTATATGATTACAGGGCTTTTCAATATGTCCTGTGCTAATACCAGCATCAAGTTTCCCCATATCCTAAGACAATACAGCAAGACAATGGAAACAGTTAATACAGCTCGGACAATACTTATTATGTTTATATTATTCCTCTGCACAAGACCATCCCTTAGTCATACATACAAACATATATAAAAGGGAAAAAGGAATTTCTAAAAAAGGCATGCGAGTCTGGATGCTCAAAGACAAGAAAAGTCAGAGAAGAAACAAACCTTAACATCAGAGGATCCAAAGAACTGGTTTAATTTCATATTAGAAGAGCAAATCTCCTGCTTTGTTGAATTGCAGTCAACCCTGCAAAATACAGAGATATATTATAAAGAAAATAAATATACTTTATCGATTTTTTTTTATAGGAATTGAAGGCCTCGTTAAAAACCCCCTTCTTGATTTAAGGAGCTTGTATAGAAGCTCCTTAATCAGCGGAAGGAGGAAAAGAGTGCCTTAAGATTTCATTAACGAAAAGAAATTACATAAGATACAACCAGATAAACACCCCCATCATAACCAAAAAACCAAAAAAACAACTGAAGACAACCCTATACAACAGAACTAGCTCAGCCTAAACCATCTAAGCTACTAACACAGTCTAAATTTTGGCTGAGCTGTTAACCAATCTGCAACAGCAATGAAGACTTAACGCCTAAACATTTCCTGGAATATAACAGAAAACAGTACAACCAAATGCCTGAAACAATCAACCAATCTCCTCCTAAGCTAACTTGTCTGCCTCCATATTACAAGACCTACGAAAAAGCTCCAGCAAAGTTGGAGGGCCTGGATCTGTATATACTATGAAAGAACCCATCATCTTGCCAGCCTCAATATCAACTGACTCATTCCATAGAAACCAAATTCTAACACAAAAGCCATGAGCTTCCACACTATAAAAGTACAAAAAGCTAGCTTCGAAATCACTTTATCCACCTTTCTACCACTTATTGCTCGTCTTGTCATTGGAGATCATCCGAACCTCCAACTTCGTTCAATAATCAAATGCGAATCACCTAAAACTTCCAATTCTTCCATTGCTATAGTTTTCTGAAATCAAAAACACTTGTGAGCCTTCAAGTTCAGTCCATTCTTCCTCGCGTTGCACCTTCTGATTAATCTTGCTTCGGCAGAATCTAGTCTTCCTATGAGGAGCCGTATATTTCTCATCAATTATTTGGAGAGAGCTATATTTATTGTTAATCCCCTCAGCTCTCTGGTTCTTCCTGGAATTGTGCGAGAAAGAAATGTCCCTCAATTGTGTTGACAAACCAAGGCTCTGGTTCAAATCCTCACATACTATCCCCGATTTAGGTTTTCCAACCACCCGTTCAACCACAACCCCATCCTTTTGGACTTCCTCTCCCTTGGATCTTATGATAGCACAATTATTTGTAAGGCCCACATTAATCACATCCTCCACCTCCTTTGACTCTAAACGACCATCCAAGATGGGCAAATCTATTAATTATCCTTTATCCCCTCATTAACACGTGCAGTCTTACAAAATTTCCTATTGTCATCTTCTGTCTCTCTCACCACGTGATCCAGCACTACCTCATGTTCCACCGCTTCCAGCTGTTCCTCGTGTTCCACCGCTTCCTCGATTTGCGTTTGAGCCTTCCCCTGACCAGCAACATTATTCCTCAGACCCATAATTATTTCCTCCCCTATGTTCCTTTCCTCCTCATCCTCACCCGACAAGTTGCTACCTTTAGCTCTGTTCCCCATACAAAATAATTGACTGTCTTCTTCCTCAAAACACCTCTCGGAATTCTTCTCCTCCGATGAGTTCACGCTTCTTCTGTCGGTGAATCAGAATCGACTACAACCGCACCTTCTTTATCTTCCCGCTTTCGAAACAAAGAATCACTTCTAACTGTGGGAACTTCCACTACGCAAATTCTAAATAAATCTCTACCTGCTTCCAAGTCTACCACTTCATCAATTAATTCTTTCCTAGTAGTTGCTATCAGAATAGTCATCTCCTCGCAGCCCAATTCTTGAAGTGTGTTTTCTCCCAGCGCTAAGCATTCTCCCCATTGCTGTGCAATCCTCTTAAAGGTGCTATGATTCCAGCAGTGAAGCGGCATTCCAAACAATTTAATCCATGTAACTCTTTTCGAAGCTCTGTAAGATTCTGACCAAGGTTGAACTTCTTGGAAAACTTCATCTAAAATCGACCAGTTCTGCTCCTTCAAGGTTCTGTATAACTCTTCCTCAACTATTTGCAATAAGAAATCTCTCCCTCCTAGGAACTTGGTCTTAATTTCTCCTAGACTAGCAGCTTGTAATCTGTCATCCACCTGACTCGAAGAGCATACCGTCGCCATCGTTCCTACGAGGCACTTTTGGAGCTTTCGAACAACTTCTTCATCTACATTCCCCTGAATTAACCTAGTCCTCCTTCTTGCAAGTTCCTCCGGACTTTCTCCACTAATGCTTGTTCCTTGTTCTACCCTGGTTGTAGCACTGGAAGTTGAAGGATATTTCAGTTTCCATATTTGATTCTTGGCTCCATACCGAGCTTCTTTGACTGATAACCGATATCCAAATAACCAGAATCCATTTAATCTTTGGACTGCTCTAACTGAGTCACCTCTATTGGAAAATCTAACAAAGCCAAAGCGCTTTCTTTTTCTATCATTTTTCCTTGCTATATAAGAACTAATCACATCACCATGCCTCCCGAATAAATGTCTCAACCCACTCCAATGATATGTAGGTGGTATGTTTTGCACAAACAAAGTTACTATCTCACCTTCCTTCCCTGAGCTTTGAGCCATCCGTCCTAACTTTTATCCCTCAAATGAGCAATCCGGAAATGCTCTCAATCAATTTGCAGCAGAAAACAGTAATCTGAAATAACACCAGTTGGGCCCAAACGGACAGATTGAGAGCAATGGTCGGATAAGCTAAAGCACCCCCGATAATGACAAAGAACCTAGTAACGTCGGAACAACCTGGTCGACGCAGAACGACGACTGAACAGCAGTAGACGGCGAAACAGTAACAGTTTCTGAAAATTATGAAACATTAAAAATCGAAATCCCGGAGAACAGCAACGGGTCTCAACTCAAGGATAGGTGGGTTTTGGTCGCCAAATGACGCAAAGCTTGGTGGTGAGGCTGTGTCGAACGGACGGCGGTTGGCGGCGAAAATCAGCAGTGAAGAAAGTATAGATCTACACCGATTGGAAGACTTCATCGCAAATCTAAGCCCAGATTTGGAATCTCCATAAGAAGACGAGCTTCCCTGAGAAAAATGGCGTCGAACGGAGATCGGAGTGCGCTGGCGGACGGCGGACGGTGGTCGACGAACAGTGATGGTGGACGAAGAACGGTGGAAAATGGATAGTTGACGACTGATGGCAGTGGTCAAGGTTGTGGATGGGTTGAGCGTTCAGACATACCCACGTGACTTTTTTTAAAAAACTGGAATCTAGAGAGAAGGTGCATTTGGTTTGCTTTTAAATTCTGTAAGAACTCCAAGTGGGTCGCCAATTAGTCTTTCTTAGATTTCTTTTCTTTGCATCATTGAAATTAACGCAATCCCAACATGTTGTAATGCAAGCTAAAAAGTGCTCATAGAAAAGGCTTTAGCATTACCACGAGTTCTTTTACTAGTTAGTAATAACCATGCACAGAGCATCGAGAGAGATTTTAATTTTCAATTGCAACTACTTGATAATCAAATGACTAGATATATATATATATATTCCAAATCCAAAATTTTAGCTGCCAATATCTCAATCTGTACGTTTGGTTGTAAATGTGGTGGATTTATTTTGTTTTAACTAGCTTAAGTCTAATTTAGTTACAAAGAACAATATTAATTAGGAAAATTTCTTACTAAGCAAAAATTTCAGATTCAATAAAAAAGCAGCTAACATACAAGTCATTCACTAGAAGTTTTGGAAACCTTCTCAAGGGGAGTCATGATGTCCATCCAATTCTAAGATCATTGCAGGGCCCCACCAGAATATAATGTATATTTCTTCTCCTCTTTTTATCATGTAAGTTTTGATACAGAACCAGAAACTTGTCCAGCTCTATCAAGCCCTTCTGCTTCTGTTTTGGTATTTTATAAACCTCACCCATTAAAAAATAAATATATCCCAACCACTTGGAACCAAAATTCATCAAGCAGCTAAGCACTTTAATTCCTAGGCTTGCACATGCACCAGTGACAAACACCAACATGCATTTTTCTATAAGAATTGGAGGCCTCGTTAAAAAACCCTTTCATAATCATCAACATACTAAAACGTATGTCAATGAATATTGGAAGGAGGAAAAGAGTATCTCATGATTTATTAAATAATATAACCATTACACCTTGTATGAAAACACCCCAATAAGATACATACACCACATCTAAACCATAAAATCTCTATGTCCCCCTTAAACATCCAAATATTACAAGGTCAACCCTATTCGGAACCCACTCACACCTATTCCAAGCCTCACATCACTAAAAACCAGTAATATTCGAAAGCAGTACATAAATCTTTAAAGATAAAAGCACAACCGAATCCTAACACGAACCATCTATATCTTGGAGAAGCAACACACTCCAATCAATAAAAACTCCTTCCAAAACCGCTATCAGACTAAAACCCAATATTCGTCCGAGACAGTTAAGCCACTTCATCCATTTGCTTGCTACTTTTAGATTCGCGATGTTTTTTTTTTCTTTCCGCACTTTGATCCCTTTCGAAGACCCTTCCCCTACAACCGGTTAGAATCACCTATTGCCCCACTATTGATATCGTCTTCCAGGGCATGAGACACCTCACCGTTTTGATCTAATTGATTGAGGGCACAAGGTAATGAAGACTCCAAAACTAAACATGGCCTGAAGCTAAATACATCTCACCATCATTGTTTCCACCGCCAGGTACAACTTCTTTCCCAATCTGATTCGACAAGTTTTCCAACAATCCAAGTGTTGAGGAACCCGGTGTAGCCTCAGGGGAACAAAGACCATTGGGTGAATCTTCAATTTGAGTATTAGAGATGGCCAATGTAGACGTGATCGACATTGGATTTTTGGATTCTTCGTTGTCATGGACAATCGTGTCTTCTTCCTCATCCTCGGGAACCCAAGGAATAGGCTTGAAACTCGGGTCGATCTCGCGAACCAGGACGTTAAACGATTGATCTTCAACCTTCAATTGTACTACCTCATCAATTCTAGAGATGATATTTGAGAATATTTGGATTTTTACCCAATCAAAGGACGATGGATATTGGGACCTTTCATCGATTGCAATAATTTTCCCCCACTTTGATGCAATGTTT